CCTCGACATTAACTTCATCATTTGCTCCCTCGACATTAACTTCATCATTTACTACGACATTAACTTCTTCATTTACTCCTTCACTGATTACTCCTTCACCATTATCCTTGATAACACGAAATCGTATATATATTTTGATGCATAGTTCAACTAAAGTTTAACCGTTTTCGATCCGATTTCGGGTTATTTCCGTGTATTTGTCTGATGTTTTGCAGGTATTCAACGATCACGTCTAAACAAGGCAACATGAAGAAAAGAAGCAATCTCAGATGAAATATGGACGAAAAAGGAGTGAAAACACAATGAAAAGCGCAGGAAGTTGTTTTTGCTGATGTGACGACCGTCACAGCTTCATGACGACCGTCACACGGGTGACGACCGTCATGCAGGCAAAAACGCCCCACTTCAATTACACGTTAAAGAATCAGTTCCAATTCCCACAGAGTGGACCACTACTCCCTAAATTATCTGCCTCAAAGTCCATCATCTTCAATGATAACCGTTGAGATTCCACTTCTATAAAAAGGGAAGCAGGGGACTTCAGAAAGGGTGTTGCATTCATACAACGAAGTGCTGCCAAATTTATTTCCAAAGCATATTTTCCAGCAATATTCTTATTTGTTTTTCTTTACCTTTCCTGTATTCCATTTTCCATTCTTCTATAACTTCTATTTTATTGTACGATCAATTTGGCATAAAGACCAGAATCCTGCCAACATCTGTGGAGGATCTGCCCAAATGCCAATTGGAATATTTACAGGTTTCTCATTTCAATCGATTCCAGTTTTATTATAATGCAAATCATTATTTATTATTTTTATTTATGTTTTATCTTTCCCAAATTCATGTCTAGCTAAACTTAGGTAATCGATATGTAGTAATAACTCGAATGGGATTTGATAACAACTGGTTGAAAAACTTTCTTTTCAAAAAAGTAATTTATGGTCTGAGTGTTTAAAATTGATTCACTGAATAAACTTCGTCGCGAAAGCGAGAACTTATTTAAAAGTAGTTTTGCCACGAAAGTGGGAAATTAATTAAGATACGAACCAACAAGCGAAAGCTGCGGTAAGGTCAGATAGTAAACACCAGTCATTTATTTTAATAACAGCGAAAGCACTTTAAAATGAATTAGAACTTAGAGATTTCCAAAAAATAATTTAAACCCCGAACGGGATACGAAAGTGTACGTTTGGCCCTTAGGATTATGATTAGCGTCAATAACCATCGTGAGACGAGAGTCTTCAAATCACCATTTTCTGCTTAAATAAACTTTGAAAATTATTTCATACACCAGTAACTTATCAAATCCCTGAAGAACACAATTACTACATATCGATTCAATCATTTATAATCTAAATAGTATTCTTAGTTCTCTTTTAGTGACAATCTTATTCCCTTAAACATATTCTACCTAGCTAAACATAGTAACTCCCGAGAACACTAGTTTGATTACGAGTCCCTGTGGGATCGATATCTATTATTACTACGCGATAGACTGTGCACTTGCAGTTAGGTTGTATTAGACATAGAAAGTCGTGATCAATCCTCCTTAAAAATAACATCATCAATACTTATTTCTTCAACTTTGTGTTCAACATAAAGATCAACTACCTTAAATCCTCTAACATCCTCCATTAACCTTAAGACATCATCATCATTGTTAAGAGGCCAAATTCCACGAGAAAAGGAAAAATTAGGATTGCAATACCATAAACATTTTATATTAAGATACCCCTCACTCTTGATCAAATCTTCAATTTGCATGTAGGACATCAAGTCCACATCCCAATCCCAATTCATTTCAATTACAAGCCCATCAACATACAACAGAACTGGATTCTGAATTAAATGTCCCCTATGGTGTACTATAAATCTGACAGTTTGGGTATCAGAAGGCCTACAAAACACAAATGACAGTTTTTGAATTAAACCATAAATAAAACTGAAAGTTGGTATAAATAAATCATATGCTATGACAAAACACAAACGCCATCGGTGTGTTTAGGGTTTTTGTATTCCGAGGTGAGTTATGAAACATACCCCGACGCATAACTTCAGTTTGCCATTTCAGACGACGGGTAACAAGCAGTTTAATTTGAAGCGAGCTGCGGTTTGCTATAGAACTGGATTTGAAGAAATAGGATGATTCGTTCGTGAAGCTTCGTTCGTTCGTGAACTGAATTTGAAGAAATGGGTTGAAGATGAAAGAGTTGGGATATTACATTTAAGTTTTATTATTTTATTAATTTTTTGAAAATGAAATAAAAAACCACGTTAATGACATGAAAATAATATTAAAATTAAAAAGACCATTTTAACTTATCATCCAACGCGTCACCTCATTAAAAATATGACTTAAGATGACAAGGGAACTAATATCAAAATCGTGATTTTTAAAATAAAGATATTAAAATACAAAATAGAGAAATCAAAGTTGCAATTAAACTAAAATTATATTTAATATGTTTGATTGTCAATGTGACTCAAAATGGATTTTATATACTGACTAGATTTAGAGGTTTAAATCGGAAACCGTTTAAAAATAAAAGTAGGTTTAATTCCGATATAATTTAAAAATAAAAGTGTATGATCCTCCCCATATTAAACAACAAACACCTACTTTGTGTTTATGTTAACTTCCATTCTATCAAATCATAGGTATTCAAATCATAGGTATCTACTTCAATTCCTATCAAATGGCAATAAAACTACACAAACTAGTGTTTGTGCTATATTTTAATTCTAACAAATAATAATACTTTCTTCTTCTCATTATAAGTGTCATTCAAGCGCTTACTAATATTTTTAAAAATAATTAAATTAAAATTTTTGATGATAAAATTAATATATTTTACTGATAATAAGTAAAATAATTGAAAAAAAAATTTTAAGTGATTTGATTTCATAATAAGTGAACTCATTTTTGGGTTATTTGTGGGACCTATTAAGCCACGTCAGCTTGAAGCAACTCAACTAGTTTTTCACTCCAATGATGCAATTCTGAATAACTCATATTGAGTCCCACAAATTTACTTTATATATTAATATTTTATTCATATTAAATTTTATATCATTTAAAATAATAATTTTAATTTTTTTACAAAAAATTATTTCAATCTACTATATAGTTCAACCGGTAAATAGTGTTGTTTTGAGGAAAAATATTTCATTCTACTGATAAATTATAAAAAAATTAAATTAAATTTTAAAAAATATTTCAATCTCTCCTTAGTTAATTTTAGTGTTTTAAATTAAATTTGATATAAAATAAAAATAAAATTAAAATTAAAATAAATAAAACTAAAATAAATAAAATTCAAATTAAATTTATAATTTAAACTTATAATTAAAATATAATTTTCATATTATAAAATCAATATTATAAAATCAATATTTTAATATTGTAATTATAATTTTCATATGATAATTAAAATGATAAATAAAATTTTATATTGAATTATAATTTTTATATAAAATTAATATTTTAATATAAGAAAAGTTGAAGTTTTTATATTATAAAATTAATATTTTAATATTGTAATTATAATTTTCATATGCTAATTAAAATGATAAATAAAATTCTATATTAAATTATAATTTTTATATAAAATTAATATTTTAATTTAAGAACAGTTGAAGAGGAGTTGGTCTTACATCTCCGTACCCTCAACTAACCAAAGAATGCAACTTTGCAATGACAATTAGGGCTGGAAATGAGTCGAGTCGAGTCGAACTCACCTCAGCTCGGCTCGACTCATTAAGAATTTTTCGAGTTCGAGTTCAACACGAACTTTTTTTTAAGCTCAAACTCGACTCGTTATGAATTGTTTCGAGTTCGAGTTCGAGTTCGAGTTCAACACGAACTTTTTTTTAAGTTCAAACTCGACTTGTTATAAGTTCACGAACAGTTTGGTTCAACTCATTAGGATCAGCTCACATGATTCACGGGCTTAAAAACTATTTTTTTTAATATATATATATTTTAGTATATTTGACATTTTAAATAAATATATTTTTTTTAAAATAAAATATTAAAATAAAATAAAAATTATCATATTAAAATTTAACTTTATCTTCGAAATCTACTAATTCAAAACTTACACAACTTTCAAGAGATACATTTGAGAGTCTAATTCAAAAACTACTAAGTTGAAGATTAAATTTGTCTAAGATTTAGATTAAATATTTAAACCTAATCTTAAAGACAGTATAATTATTCTCATATGTAATCGAGTTAACTCATGAACCTAACGAGTCGAACTATGTAGAGTTCAAGTTCAGCTCATTTAGTTAACGAACTTAATTTTTCGCTCATACTCAACTCATTAGGTTCATGAACCTAATTCAACGATCTAATTGTCAAATCGAATTTCGAACTATTTTCGAATTGGTTCGGTTCATTGCCAGCCCTAATGACAATGCACTTCAAGAATTAACCAAAAAATTAATAAATAAAAGCATAAGAAAAAAAAGATAAATAAGAATTTTGAAGAGCATACAAAATTAAATTAGACGCCTTAAACAAAAAAAAATAGACACAAACGAGCCATTTATATAAAAAATAGAAATGACACAAGTTATATAAAAATATATAAATTAGATACTTTCAGGAGTAAATCGGAAAGGGAACTCTACTGGTTCAAAATTAATAAAACATTTCAATAATTTAGAGTTGAATTTCAAGGATTTCGAAACTCCACTTGAATTGAAAAATCATCTTCAAAATTCACACTATTCATTCTTCACAAGCTTTCTATTTGCATTAATAGAGGTTATCAATTACATGTCGTTAGCAAAAAGATTATCATAAGAGAAATATAGTTGCATAGACATCAACTGTAATCGACCAATTACATAAAAATCTTGTCCAAAAATAACTAGCCACCATTCAAATTACATGTCTTTTCATTATGTCTTTCAAACTATACAACGCATAAAAGAAACTTAAATCCATAAAATTCCTAAATACCCAAAAAGAAAAACTAATACTCCATAACCTAAGCACGTTCACCGCGAATACGGCGAGCGAGTTGAATGTCTTTAGGCATGATGGTAACCCTCTTAGCATGAATTGCACACAAGTTGGTGTCCTCAAACAACCCAACAAGATAAGCCTCTGCAGCCTCCTGGAGCGCAAGAACAGCATGGCTCTGGAATCTAAGATCAGTCTGCATGAAAAACAAACAAGAATTCAATAACAAATTAAGAAAAATCACAAGTAATTTATAAAATCAAACAATATTAATAATAGTGAATCTGATGATGCAATTACCTTGAAATCTTGAGCGATTTCACGAACAAGACGCTGGAATGGAAGCTTGCGGATCAAAAGTTCAGTACTCTTCTGGTATTTACGGATCTCACTGAAAATCATACGAATTGAAATTTCAATACAACAAACCCTAAAATCTTAAATCGTTATGTAAATAATTGGGGAAATTGAAAATTTACCGAAGAGCAACGGTTCCAGGACGATAACGATGGGGCTTCTTGACTCCTCCGGTTGTAGGAGCAGATTTCCTAGCAGCCTAAACAAAGAAACACGGCAAATCAAACTATTGAACCGAATCAAATCGACAATTACGAAATTGAGAAAAATCGAAACCCTAACGGAACGATGAATACCTTGGTGGCGAGTTGCTTCCTTGGAGCCTTGCCACCGGTGGACTTGCGGGCGGTTTGCTTTGTTCGAGCCATGGATAGATGAAAATTCGCAAAAACGAAGAGAGAAAAATCGAAGAAGATTAATTAAGTTTTTGAAACGAAGAAAGTGTGGTAATGAATAGGAATATGAGAATTCGTTTATATATGAGTAGAATAATGATGATTAAGTCGGTTTAATTAGGGATGAGAGAGATCATGGACTTTGAATTCTTCAACGGTAATAAATATTTTTTAATCATGAATATTAATCGTGATCCGTGTGCTTGTTTCTGATTGGTTAGTTTGTGGAGTTGCAGATTGCCAGCGTGGATGATTTGTGTTTCTTTTGTGAGTAGGTTGCGGTTTGTTCTTTCTTGAATTTAGTCTTTTCATTAAAACATATAGCCACGGAAGTGTTACTACTTTTAAGTAATTAATTATTGGATTTAATAAATAAATCGTTGATTACGTTTTTAAAACATTATTAATAAATGACAATTAATCCTTGAAGTATATGAAAATTTTCATTTAAAAAGTACTAGTACTATGTCGTCTTAACAATGTGGACTAAATTAAAAAATTCATATGTTTTTAAGGAATATCCGAATATGTACTACTTTTATATATTAAAGTTTAACATTAAGTGATATATCAAGAACAAAATTGATGGTTTGTTAATTAGAGTTATAAAGTTGCTTTTGGTGTTTAAAATGCAAAAATTAGTATTTGGACAATGTTGTATTTTGTAATGGGATATGTTGACTTTATGTTTAAGAGGTTATCTTTGGAGTTGATCTTTGAGTGTTTTTTTTAGAGTTGGAGTTAATTTAAGTGTTGTATTTTTTATATATAGTTTATTTTTTTAATGTATTCTATATTGTTGTTTTTCTTATCTGAAGCTTAAATATTTTGTGCATTTCTTTATGTTCGTTTTATGTGTTTTATATTTTTTTCTCTTGCATTTTACAGTGATTTTATAGGAGATATGCTTGAATGGGAAGAGTTTATGGGACTTTTTTTTACTTATCGAATTTATGTTTGTTTGTGTCATTCTCATTTTACGATAGGCAATTGAAGTATGAACTTAAATATTTACTTTAAATATATTTTTTGTTAAAGTATCAGTAATTACTATAGTGATTCAAGTGATGCAAGTCTAAGTAGCCATAATACATAATAGGATTGGTTGATAATTTTTTATTCGCCTTTCTCAAGACATGTCTAGTACGATTCTAATGTTATAACAACTACTTCAAATATTAGTTGGCATTGAAGCACAATTACGGCGCACTTAAAGATAAATAAGGAATAAAGAATTATAGATAAAGAGAAAAGAAGTAAATAGGAAGGGATAATATATACGTGGATATCTGCGGATGAAATCCGTCACAAATACGAGAGAAATAGTTTAATAGATATTTATAAATAAAATAAATAAATATTTAAATACTCATTTATTGATAAATATAAATATGGGTTTAATAATATCTCTACCTCGCAAAAATTCATATCCGTTAATAAATTATAAAAATTATTAAAATACTATTATTTTATTATAGTTTATATTTTTATATTTAAAAAATAATAATTTTCTTATATTTTTTTCTTTTCTTTTTAATTTTCTTTAAAAAAACATTTCACTTTTTTTTTTAATTTTCTTTAAAGAAAGCACTTCACATTTCATTTAAATTTTATTAAACTAAATTCTTCAATACTACACTTCAACAATTTCACAGTACAACCAACGTGTCGGCATTCCTCTATCGAACCAGTGTTTCTCTTCATACTCTTTTGTGGTTTGCTCTTTCATCATAACTCACAATCACAATATCTTTTATTTATTTAATTAAAAATGAAATGTATGGATATTATGGTTACATCTAATTATGTTTTGGTGAATAAGAAGAAAATCAATGTGATGTAATTTTATTGTTAAATTAAGAGTGAATTGTATGGATGTTATGTGGTAATAATTTTTTTGTGTCTTTAAAAGAAATTAAAAATATTTTTATAAAAAAAAATATTATTCATGGATATCTGTAAATATCCATGGATACTGTAAAACATGCGGATTACCCGTTTAACTGATACTTGCATGGATATCATATTTATCCAACGGGACGGATATGAATATCATAATATCCGTCCCCATAGATATCGATATACATCTCTAGAAGTAAGGGAGGACTTGATGATTAGAATCATTCCAAACAATGATAACCATATTATGTTTTATTTACTAATCATCTTTATTTCAGTTATTTTATCTATGATATATATTTTTGTGATTTTGTTTGTGTTACTTTGTTTGTTGTTTTTTATTTAAGATGTCCTACTTTAATTTAGATTTTCTAATTTAGTTTAAATATTTTATTTTCATGCTTAAATTATATTTAGTGTTGTTTGAGATTAGATTTAGATTTTTTATTTGATAATTGTTGATTAATGTTGCCCAATCAAGTTTAAAATTTATTGGATAAGCTTGAATCTATGGTTTAGGTTTTAATTGAATAAGCTTGAATCCATGGTTTAGGTTTTAATTGAATAAGCTTGCAAGAAGTAAGTTTTTTTTCCAAAAGTTGTATTCTAAGATGAATTTTAAGGCTGTTCTTGAATTAAAATTTGATTATGATTTTGTTGTTTTTTTAAAATATCATTCTATTAAAATTATGAAATTGATTAACCATTCATTTTAATAAGTAATGACAAACTGATAACATTTGTGAATTTATATGTTGTGCATGTACAATTATTTACATCCATTAGTTAATCTTGTTAGTTTTGATGATGACATCACCTTATGTAAAACAACATTCAATAAAGTATTTAACTATCAAGATGGTTCAACGATCAATATGTTCTTTGTGATGATAAATATCAAGCCACCTCAAAGATGATAACACCTTAATTCAAACAGCATTTGGTGAATTCCTTGGTGTCAATTGTCCAACAATCTCTGATGATGTCATCCAATCAATAAGATATCCAAAATATCATCAGTCGTAAGATTCAAGTTCTAATTGAAATGTTAGGTCAATGATGAATCAAGTAAGGGAACTCGAAACTCTGTATTATGAAATAAATGATGTGTGAAAGCTCGCTAGGTCCTAAACGTGGCGTGTGTCTTAGTAATTAATTTAATGTAAAAGACATATAAGTAATATGGTGTTTAATAAATGAATATCAATAATTAATATTGTCAAATATCTAGTAAACATATCATGTTTAATTGATATGCTTAAATATAGCATATTAGGGTCATATTAGTAAATGAAGCAAGTCTTAATTAAAGTGTAATGGTATTGAATAATATTTATACACAATGAAATTTTAACGAACCATTGCATATTCTCACACTGTTGACAAATACCACAATGTTAATTCATGAATCACATATATCACAACATTACACTATGTCACATACAATAGACGAATCATTGAATGAATTATGTTCTAACTTTCTTACTAATTTTGATTTGTACTCATTACTTATATTGATTGCTTACAAACTTGTTGCATCTTCTCAATTTATATTATATAATATTTTGGTTTGTATACTAGTTTACTATTTTAAATTGTTAATTGAATTTAACGAAAACAATTCTTATGGAATCAATATATTTGTTATCACTTACTACTTATTTAATTGTGTATACTTGCACAACTTTTCAAGCCACGAGTTTTTGGCGCGGTTTGTGGGGATTGAATAGTTAAATTTTAATTTTATTTATTTATCTATTAATTTAATTCGTTGAAGACTTTAATATGCTCTTTGTTTATTGATAAAATAGCAAGTTGTGTAAATGACCATGTAAGCACATGTTTATTTCACTTGAATACATAACATATCTTGAGATTTGAAAAACATTCGAGGGAATATGTATAATTTATTTTAAAATAATAATAAAACATGATGCGCCTTGGTATTGTACATCGATATTTCACGTGATAAAAAAACCTGGCAGCAAAATAAAAAGGAACGAATCCTCATCTCTCTCAAAAGTTCATCGATGGTGCAAAGTGGCGGCCAACCAGCAGCGGCGGCGAAGGCGTCCCCCCACCACTAGATCCCTCATCCTCTCTTTATTTACTATTTAAATGTCTCTCATTTTCCCTTTCTTTCACGCTTGCTAATGACAAAGTTTAATTATTACCGGAGAGGAATGAATGACTATAAGGTTTTGTTGATGCACCATGAGAATACTCGACATCTGCCATGACTGTATTGATTACATTCTCTTCTTCCTTTTGGGAAATGTTTATGGATTCAGTCTCGCTAGCCTAACTGCTCGAGTGTCATACCCCAAATTTTGACCCCTTAGATCTTCATCATCGTTCATTTGATTATCTAACCTTAATCTGTCTCAAGTTGCCTTTGTCAAGTTACAGGAGAATCAGGGTTTTGTACAACCGAAATTGAGGTTTCGAAAGTTAATCGATCAACATTTTGGATTGTTTCTCCTTGAATTGATTCTCCACATCATCAAGTATATTCCATTGGTTCAAGTATGAATCCAATTTGAGGTTGTCATCCAGGAATCAAAAACAATGAAGTTCAGGATACCCGATTAGGGTTTTCGCGCAGGAAAAGTCAATTGTGGTTTGACTTTTGATTTAAAAGGTGTTACAATGGTGGGATCATGGTCCATAAGGTTCATATGGCTTGGTAAAGTCTATTCAAGAAGTTTCAAGACCTCAAAAGGCCCGGAGCATCAACAGTCGACTCGGTAGTCGCCGATCGATTGTTTGGTTGACCGAAAAGTCAATTCATCACTCATAAAGAATTTGACCTCAAGGTGTGATTAAAAAATGTTCCAAATGACATATTGCACCTACCTATAAAATTTCATGACCATTGGATCAAGGGTTGAGGAGTAATCGCAAAAGTCAGGAATTAGGATTTTGACAGGGGCAAGACCATAACTCCTTAACCACACATCCAATTGAGTTGGTTCAAAGCTCATTGGAAATCTCTTGATAAGTCCTACAAAAGTCCCAAAGTGGTCCATGATCAGAAAATGCATAGATTTGAAGTTATGATCAAATTCATTACA